ATCCATGGGTTGGATGATAGAGGTAGTGTTAGGTGGAATGTACACTACCTTAACATCAGGGTGCATGTCGTCCAGGTGTGGTGGGTGTCCCAGAGCATTATCCAAAATCAGTAAAATCTTGAATGGAATCTGTTGTTGCAGACAATACTCCTTGGCTCGTGGAATGAAACAAGTCATGAACCAATCCTCAAACAGTTCTAGGGTCATCCAGGCTCTCTTGTTACTGCGATAAAACACTGGCAGTGTGTGTGCTTGCTGACATGTTTAAAAGCCCTGGGGTTCTCTAAATGATAGATCATGAAGGGCTTTAGCTTGAAACCAGCAACATTCCCCCCCCAACAGAAGTGTAATTCTGTCCTTGAATGCCTTGAATCCGGGCATTGTTTTCACCTCTTTGTGGATGTATGTCCGCTAAGGCAATGCGCTTCCACAATAATCCAGTCTCATCCACATTGAATATTTGCTCAGGCAAATAATTCCCTTCCACAATCACATCATCTAACTCCTCCTTAAAAGCTTCGGCAGCAACAACATCGGCACCAGCTGCCTCTCCACTCACCTTAACATTGTGTAGACTGTAGCGTTTTTTAAATCTATCAAACCACCCACGACTTCCTGTAAAGGTTTACAATCATATCTATCTCCTGTCGTCTTCCAGCTTTGGGAACAGTTTTGCTTAGTTCAAGTACGTCAAAAATCAATTCTCTAATTTTTCCATATCGTGAATAGGACCTAGTCTTCTCTTTGATATTATAGTTCCCTTTATAGGTGTTGTTCCTTTCACTACTTCACGAATACGTTCCTTGTCCTTCAGAATAGTGGATATAGTCGAGTGTGAGAAACCTAGGTCACGTGAGATTGTTGCTACTGTTTTTCCATTCTCATACTGTGTTATTATCTTCAGTTTCATCTCAAAAGTAATTGCCTGTCTCCTTTTCCTTGGAGTACCACCAGCACTCTCACTTTTACGCTTTCCAGTCATTATAAAGTCAATTAAATACAATAATAACGAAAGTTCACAGCGCGATCAGTATAGGATACGATAGCCAAACACAAACAAAGCGCTCCACTGAGTGAGTGCAGCCACGAAGCGACCCAAGACACCCCTCCCTCTCGCCCGGGACGGAAACGTTTCGGTATAGAAAATGCGCGCGTCATTTGAAAAAATTTTTGGTCACGACGGTCGCAGTCGTATGTCCCGTACGGACGTACGGTCAAAGCAGGTCGTAAGTACCAGTGGACGTAAGTCCACGTAGTCGTAAGTCGGGGTCTGTCTGTATATATATGAACAGTAAATAAGTGTTGTTTTCATATTCTTATATAGAGTAATGACGATATGTTTCACGTGTGCTCACTTACATACGTGATCTCACTTTTCTTTACCATTAATGGTTAGCTACTTTCATTGTTCCATTGATTATCATTAAATAACATTACTTATAACAACCATTTTAATTTTTTTACATTAATTTTATTACAGCTACAATCGGGATCTTATTTTCTTCAGTTTTATATGTAGAACCAATCAGTCACTGGTTTTGTAAACAACAAAAACAATGCCATCTCGTCTCCTCGGGCGTTTTAATATTCTACGTATTATTTATGAATTGTATTGTTCATTTTGCACACAAACAATAATTCAATCAAAAAGAAATTAAGTAATAAACAATAAATCTTTTTTACATAAGAGAAATGCGGGCCGCTCAAACCCGTCGAAATTTTGAATTGTGTAGTGTTTTTTTTTGGTGTCCAAATATAAAATGTCGAATTATAGACTTGTACTATACTATACTGTTCTGTACTTTACTATACAGTGGTCCCTCAGTTAACGAACACAATTCGTTCCAGAAGGTCGTTTGTTAACCGAAAATTTCGTTAACCGAAACCATTGTTTCAATGGGATCTTGGGTAATTGGTTCCAGCTCACCGAAAATTACATACAAACTAAAAATAAATTCAGTAAAGTACACTTTACTTTGAGGTGTGCATGTAGAAGGCTCCTGGTTGATGATGACGATGATGGGAATTTGAAGTGGGGGTGAGCATGTTGGGAAAAATTTGTAAGGAATTTGTTACCGGTAACCGAAATTTTTTTGTTAACCGAAGTGACAAATCTTATGGAAGGTAATTCGTTAACCGAAATTTTGTTAACCGAGAGATCAATGTTCTGTACTGTGCTATACTATATTGTACTGTACTATACTGTATTGTACTGTATACTGTACTATCTAATATACTATAGGAATAGCCGTGTGTCTGTCTGTCTGTCCGTCTGTCTCTTCTGCGCAGCCGAAACGGCACAATCGTTTTTCATCAAACATGGTGAAAAAATCACAAAAAAATTGTAGAGTGGAACAAACCTGGTCCCATGTCGATGGTTTCTTTAGGAAGGCATTAATTAACCATTTTATTTACGCTGGAAAACGATGCCAGTCTACAGACTTGGCGCACCCTCATTCGCTGTACGCTGTTAGCCGGACGACGAACTGGGCACGAAAGGCCCGCGATCACTTGTACTGTACTATACTATACTATACTATACAGTGACCCCTCGTTTAACGAACACCTCGGTTAACGTAATTTTGATTAACGAACTGCCTTCCATAAGGATCTTCAATTCAGTTAACGAAAAAAAATTCGGTTACGAAGTTCTTACGAACCGACTTTATGTTTTCGCTAGTAATTCGACCGGGCAACCAGCTTTAGTGTATCAGTCCGCCAATACATTAATCGGTTCTAGGGCTTAAATTTTACTTATTTTAGTAAATATCAAGAAGTTTATACTATTCAATAATTTTAAAAGTTTAATATTAAATTTTTAGTCATTTTAACAATTTGCTGTTGATAATTGAAGGTAAAGTGACTAGTTTAATGCTGCATCCAGCCTCTAACACAGCAAATTTTTTCTTTTTGAAATATATATTGAAAATTTTATTCAGAGAGCTACTTATGGGTGAATGAAACATAGGTGATTTCTTCATTTCTGTCGTTTTTTTCTTTCACCCCCATTCTAAATCCCATCATCATCATCATCCAGGAGCTTCACACACACCTCAAAGTAAGTGAACTTTTCTACCATTTTTGCTGAATTTAGGAAATTTTCGGTGAGCTGGAACCAATTACCCAAAAACCCATTGAAACAATGGTTTCGGTTAACGAACTTTTCGGTTAACGAACGACCTTCTGGAACGGATTGAGTTCGTTAACGGAGGGGTCACTGTACTGTACTGTACTGTACTGTACTGTACACTTCTGTACTACTGTACAGTAATACCCCGCTTTACGCGGTTCTCGTTTACGAGTTTCTACATTTACACAGTACCTTGCCAGAACCAGAATTCCCACTTTACGCGGTGCATCTACTCATATACGCAGGTGAAGTATAATTTTTTTTTTTAGCTCATAAAATTCATACAAATTACCGGGCCAGAATATAATTTACATTGCTGGAATTCTTACAATATGATGATCATTTTGAATATAAACATCATAGATTTTGCATTAGACATACAAATTTTAGATCTAATGTAAGAATTTTGTTTACTCAGAGCAAATATGTTATCTTTTAGGCAAAATATGTCACCTATTTATTCAAAATATTCCTGGTCTTGCAAGGAATCCAGCAATGTCAATTATATTATCCTAACTTTAGTTTGAGGTATTATTTATTACTACAGTGGCCCCTCGGTTAACGAACTCAATCCGTTCCAGAAGGTCGTTCGTTAACCGAAACGTTCGTTAACCGAAACCATTGTTTCATTGGGTTTTTGGGTAATTGGTTCCAGCTCACCGAAAATTTCCTAAATTCAACAAAAATGGTAGAAAAGTTCACTTACTTTGAGGTGTGTATGTAGAAGGCTCCTGGATGATGATGATGATGATGGGATTTAGAATGGGGTGGAGGAGAAGGAAGAAAAGAAGGCATTGGGGTGGAAGAGAAGTCACCCCATGGCGCCATTTTACCCATAAAATTTTAGCTCTCTGGTTTAATTCAAGATTATTTTCTTTAAATCAATGCTGCACTGCATTATATATTGTCAATATATAAAATATATTTCAAAATGACCAATAATTTGCTTGGAAACACAGACAAAAAGCATTTAGTTGAAGAGAGTCTCAAGCAAGATGTTACCTCCAGTGAAAACAGAGAGAGACTGACGCCTGTTTGCTGTGTTAAGAGGCTGGATGCCGCACATTAAACTAGTCACTTTACCTTCAAATTTGTTCAATAATTGTTAAAATTACTAAAAAATTGAATATTAAACTTTTAAGATTATTGAATAGTATAAACTTCTTGATATTTACAAAAATAGTAAGGAATTTAAGCCCTAGAACCGATTAATGTATTGGCGGACTGATACTAAAGCTGGTTGCCCGGTCAGTGCAAGCGAAAACATGTTGAGGTCGGTTCGTAAGAAGTTCGTTAAGCGAATTTTTTTTCGTTAACCGAATTGAAGATCCTTATGGAAGGCAGTTCGTTAACCGAGGTGTTCGTTAAACGAGGGGTCACTGTATACCTTAAAATCTAGTGTTTTTACCCAAACATTTCTCGGAGAGGGAGGAGCCTGCGAACGTGGGAAGAGGGGGGGAGGGGGGAGTTGAGTCCATTATTTGAATGGACATTAACCGGCAACTGTATATCTCTTAAATATTAATTGTGTATGCATACCATCATAAAATTAAGATGTTATTTTTACTACAACATAGGTATTGTGTCGGAAAAAGTGGAGTTTGGGAGTCGGCCCAGTCTCTATTTCAATTAATCCCATTTGTTCTGTTATTCCATTTACGCATTTCTCGTTTTACGCGGACCTCTGCGGGTTCAATTGACCTCGTAAATCGGGGTATTATTGTATACTGGTCAGTTCTGCACTGTACTATACTATACTATATACTGTACTATACTATACTGTACTCTACTCTACTCTACTCTACTCTACTCTACTGTACTATACTCTACTATACTATAATGTACTATACTATACTGTACTATACTGTACTTTACTGTACCTTACTGTACTGTACTATAACATACTATAATGTACTTTGCTGTACTATAATTGGGGTTATGCCTTGTTTCCTTAACATTTACCCAACAGTCTTGAATGTACTGAAGCAGCAAGTAGGTCACTACCTTTATGTGCTCCACACTTTCCTCTGACTAAAAAGATTCTGCCATTGAAGTACTGTATGAATTTAGCAGTAGTGGAGCAGACTGTTTCTATTATAGCTGTATCAAAGACTCTGCCCTCACTCCCTGAGAAATTCTCACTCCACTGTCTTGCTAACATCCTAATTATTCTTCCTTGTAGAAAACAGAGAAGGTGAATCTGTTATTACAAGACTCAACAGATAGTTTATGAGTAGAGATCCAATTGATCAAGATATAGATGATTCATTTTGTGAGTCAAGTCTTATATATTTTATTAATAATTTTTACCACTTTCAGGTTTTGTAGAGAGTATTTCTCTTAGCTGGTGCAGTTCACACCTTCTGAACTCTGCTGACAACCTCAGGTCCAGTGGTGTCAGCACAAGAGTGAAAGTATTCAGTCACCTTTTCTACAGTCTCCTTCATGTGTCCAGTACCAAGTATCACCATCAGCATCCAGGAAAGTGAACAGTGTTGTGCTATTTTGCTCATCCCAAATATTCTTAATAATGATTTTATGGCAGTCAACTAAAGGTGAATGAACATTAAGCGATGTTTGGAGATACAACTGTAAAAGACGAGGCGCCATGTAGTACTTTCCTCACAGTCTGTTTATCTGTCAGCCTTACTTCATTTTAAGTTAACTCAGATGAACATTTTTATTTAAATCATTTGTTTAATGATTTGATGTAAAGAGAAAATTTCACTGTCACCATTAACATTGTTTCATGGCCATATTCCACAATCTCGTCTGTTAGTTGGTTGGTTTTATGGCCACACTCCAGTAAGGCCAAGTACAGCCAAGATGACCACCATCTGAGAGACCACAAGCCCAAGATATTTGGGGAAAGAAACAATGAATATGGAAGGTGACACTGAAGATCTCCCTCAAGGTTCACAATGCCATGAAGATTTTAAAAAAGACTGTCTTGTAAAGCATGTGGGAGATCACCCATCAGAGACACTTTTTAACACAGGAGAGAAGTTCCAGTGTTCAGAATGTTCTAGATCATTTACTAAAAAATCTAGTTTAGTACAACATATGAGGGTTCACACAGGAGAGAAGTTCCAGTGTTCAGAATGTTCTAGATCATTTACTAAAATATCTAGTTTTGTACAACATATGAGGGTTCACACAGGAGAGAAGTTCCAGTGTTCAGAATGTTCTAGATCATTTACTAAAAAATCTAGTTTAGTACAACATATGAGGGTTCACACAGGAGAGATGTTACAGTGTTCACAATGTACTAGTTCATTTATTAAAAAATCTAGTTTAGTACAACATATGAGGGTTCACACAGGAGAGATGTTACAGTGTTCAGAATGTACTAGTTCATTTACTTATAAATCTAGTTTAGTTGAACATATGAGGGTTCACACAGGAGAGATGTTACAGTGTTCAGAATGTACTAGTTCATTTACTTATAAATCTAGTTTAGTACAACATATGAGGGTTCACACAGAAGAGAAGTTCCAGTGTTCAAAATGTACTAGTTCATTTATTAAAAAATCTAGTTTAGTACAACATATGAGGGTTCACACAGGAGAGATGTTACAGTGTTCAGAATGTACTAGTTCATTTACTCAGAAATCTCAATTAGTACAACATATGAGAGTTCACACAGGAGAGAAGTTCCAGTGTTCAGAATGTACTAGTTCATTTACTCAGAAATCTAGGTTAGTTCAACATATGAGGGTTCACACAGGAGAGATGTTACAGTGTTCAGAATGTACTAGTTCATTTACTTATAAATCTCAATTAGTACAACATATGAGAGTTCACACAGGAGAGAAGTTCCAGTGTTCAGAATGTACTAGTTCATTTACTCAGAAATCTAGGTTAGTTCAACATATGAGGGTTCACACAGGAGAGAAGTTCAAGTGCTCAGAATGTACTAGTTCATATACCCATGAATCTAGTTTAGTACAACATATGAGGGTTCACACAGGAGAGATGTTCCAGTGTTCACAATGTACTAGTTCATTTACTAAAAAATCTAATTTAGTACAACATATGAGAGTTCACACAGGAGAGATGTTCCAGTGTTCAGAATGTACTAGTTCATTTACTAATAAATCTAGTTTAGTTGATCATATGAGGGTTCACACAGGAGAGATGTTCCAGTGTTCAGAATGTACTAGTTCATTTACTAAAAAATCTAATTTAGTACAACATATGAGGGTTCACACAGGAGACACACCATATCATTGTACAAAATGCAATAAATCCTTCACAAAGAAGTGCCGTATGATAAGGCACATAAGAGTTCATACAAGAGAAAAATTTCAGTGTTGTGATTGTCAAAAATGTTTTCCCAGTAGAGTGAGTCTCACAAGGCATAGTAGAACTCATCTGACTTCTTACAGTAAAGTTCATGCAAAAGATAATAAATGCCACAAAAAATATGATAATAAACAAAGGCTGAAAAAATGTGGTGAGGAGAAGTCAGGGAGTGGTAGGAGATTCACCCAGAGGAACCACCACCTTGGTGCTCTCGGGAGCCACACAACAGAAAAACGAGCGGGCAATGACCTGAACAGTCCAGAGCCGAGCCACAATAATTGTCGGGAACTGCCCACTTCCTCTCATAGTGAAGATGAGTATAGCCTCTCTTACCAGTGTAAGACAAAGGCTGTGTGTAAACTAGCAGATAATGACCTTGTAGTGAGTAGATCAACACATTTCATAGACTGGTCAGGTCATGGAGTTAAAGATGAACCTGTTGATGGTCAACCTTCAATCTTAAGTATATCAGAAGATCCACTTCAATCTGAGATGGTTCCTCCATCTTCTATAAAATTAGAGAGCCTTAAGGAGGAATTTGAGTTTCTTGAGGAAGAATTGTGAAACCTTATTAACATATTGTGTGTAATGCAAGCTTGTGTATGTTTATATTAATAAATATATACTGAGAA